AATATATTTTTAATACAAAATATTCAAAATCAAAAATTTTCACATATTATTATTTTAAGTATTTACCCAATTCCCGGTCCATTTATCGGGAACCAATATCAACTTAGTGAAGACATATCATGATTTTGTAGAGAATGTCAAAAGAAATATGGTGATATTTGGGAATTTTTTTTGGACATCAAGTGATAAGACGAGAGAAGTTTGAATAGGTAGAATGAATATATTAGAAAAGATTTATTCAACAAATTAGAAAGAGAGTAATTTTTATTAATCGTTCGTCCATGAATGATGGATTGTTGTTCACCAAGAAGGATATCATTTAATAAATACTATGCTTCGTAGGAATACTTAAAAAAAATTTTATGCGTATAGTTATGACTCCGTTATTTGTTAAACAAATTTTGATATGGTCTAAAAACTTTATACTGATGATATTGAGAGAATTCGAAGAATTCATTTAAAGTGTTGAAAATTTTGTTATATATTTCATGGTAACACCAAAATCGATTTATCATCTTCCTATTGGTGGATTCCGTCAAAAATTTGATGATTTGACAAATATTATACACGACGAAGTGAAGAAATCGCTAAAACTCCTTTTGATGAACCGACCACTCCCGACAAGCTAATCCGATAGAATTATTATGGAACACATTTCTAATTAAACCCAACTCGCAAAAACAAAATAGATTTTTAAAATTAAAAAATTGTATTTTAATAATGCCATTGTCGAAACTTTTGCCACCTGTCGAAATTTTCGCAATTTTGCCTATAATAAAAAAATTTGGCAAAATGTTTCGATGGGTTTCGATTTCGATGCCTGTCGAAACCTCGGGGTTGATCATAATAATATGTACAGCCTCTACCTTAAAAGCATAGAGTACCACAAAAATGTATATATTTATATATACGGTATGTACGGTATGTCAGAGAATCGGTTATTTGAAATTTAAGAGCCAACTTAACGGTCCAATGAAAATTCTCAATCTCAAATTTTAATTATTATAGCAATTTTTTAACAAGAGTTACAATTTACAGAAAAGCGATTAGACTTTAATTTATTCAAAATCATTTGGGACCGTTTAACATCCCTACTTACTGTGTTTCGTTTTTAACCAAGTAAACGAAAAATTTTGTACTAACTAGAATTAGATTTTTTTGAAGTTAAGCAAACAAAACACAACACATTTTATATTTCTCTGCTCTGTAACTTAAAGTTTTTTTCAATTCTATATCATTTTGCAATTTCATTTAAATCATCAAAAAGAATATGAATAAAAAATAAATACTTGTTTTATTCTAAATCTGTAATTTTTAAAAGTTATAAAAGTCGATACCATTATTACATCCGCGTAAGGAACCTGATTCTTATATAAAGAAATTTCAATTGATAATTAACTTTGGGAATACTAAAATCTCAACTTCATTTTAATTTTAATTTTGTCATACAACGATCATTTTTCAATCGAAAGTGTAGAAACGCTTGCATATCGATAATCGAAATCTTGTTCTTTCAAATGAAATTATTATTTACATTTTTGTCACTTTGACCCGATGTCCAACAGAAGCGAAACAACCAAAAATTGGAACCCAAAGGCGTAAAGTAATAAATAAATAGTTTGATTTCTGCGTCCAGATGCGATCGAACCCATAAATTAAAAAAGAAGAACGAACAAAAAAAAATAAGAAAAAATAAAAAGCTCGAAATAACTGCTGCGGTCCGCAGCGATCCCAAATAGAAATAAATATTATAATAATAACTTATAAGAATTAAGATGCTGCAAAAATAAGAATTCAATATTAATGCTGCCCAATCGTTCGATCCAACTATTAACCCTTCATCATTATAACTTTTTTTTCCTAACTTAACTTTTATTTCCATCGTTAAATCTGGGGTTATCCTTCGATCATCAAATTTCGGGACTATGTGGTGGGTCATATTTTGTACGCAAGTTGAACGCTCACAATCACCATTAAAAAATTCGTTTGCCAATAAAAAAAAAAATTTTTTTTGATAATTAGAAATCTAATTCAGCTTCATATTCTTCGAGACAACTGCATTAAATAATAATGAAATTCATTTAAATCATCTGTTTCTTTTTATACTACTTTTCGAGTTCTATCGTTTCAGAAGTGCCACATACCAAATCGCATTTGTTACCAAGCCAACTCTTAAAAAAAAAATATTAAATTAAAAATTAAACTAACATTTCATTTAACCAAAAAATATACCTTATTTTATTTAAATAATCAAATATTCATATAAGGTTAATTATATGTAACTTTAAGCAGGTATAAATCTTAGAACGATATAAAAATTTTGGCTCTTATACCTGATGCATTTTTAGTTGATGAAAAAATAAAAAAAGAATATATTAGACTAGAAAAATTATCAGAAACTAAATTACCTATTTAAATCTAAATATTAATAAAATTATTTTTATAAAAATTTTTTTTGATTGTGCAGATCTTTCCAATTACAAATGTTCGTCCAAAGTTTGGTTTTGATAATTTACAGATATTATATAAAAAAAATTTGAATTATTGAGAATTATCACGGATGAAAAATCAAAAGCTGATTATCTTTTAAGTCAACGAGTTAGAATTTCAGAAAATAGAAAACCTTAACTCCTATTGTTAATGAATTCATCAGCAGGATCTATTGAAATAATACAACAAAATGTATGGCGTACACCTGAAATAAACGATTATTATTCAATAATCTCAAAGCGGCTGAATTTTGGAAACCCGATGGATATTAATTTATTCTGTAAAATTGTTAACAAATGAGGGCTATGTTATTCACAATAAAAAAAAAAATGCAGTTCATCGAAAAACTATTGAAAGTTAATTTTATTGCAAAATTTTAAAAAGGAATTTTTCATATTCATATTCGAGAAAATATCCCTTTTATAATAAAAATTATATATATATTAATTAAAATATAGAGTGATAATACAAGATCTTGTTGCCCTTTTTAATAGCGGGTTTTCTATCTTTGGGTCCATAAAAATATAATTATTTTTTTTTGTATTTTAAATGTCCAATATCATTACCTACATCAAACAGTTTTTTTTTATAAGAAAATATAAAAGTTATAAATTTACCATAAAAAAAAAATCTTTTGGTTTTGCGGCGCGTTTTTTGAAAAAGACCCATCTAAGTTAATTCTATGTAGCGTAGCGTTATCGGAAAAGTCTTTCGTTTCATTTGTAGTTAAGGTTTCTCTTAATAAATTAATAAATGAAAATTATGTAAAAAGTTATTCTTAAAAGAAATAATAAACAATAAAGTTTTTAAACCTCTCTCTACGTTTCTTCGAAAGCCAAAAATTAGCGAAATAGTATTTGTCAGAACTGTTTTTTGGTTAGTTTTCGTTTAAGTAAAGAGAGAGATGTTCTCAGGTGGGGTAAAAACAATTACCATAGGCAGTAAGTAAGCCCCTGAACAATCGATATTTTAGATATTAATTTAACATTTTGGATGTATATCAACAGAACATTACTTGGAAAATTTAGAATAAAATCATTACGTGTCATTGGAAAAAGTTTTTGATATTTCCAGCACGTGTGAATTTTTTTTTTAAATTCGTATTAAATTAATGACATTATATAACTGTCCTTTTGTTTAACACATCATGGTACACTAATTCAAAAACTAGTGTAATGCAATTAATTCTCTTGGTTGAATCGCAATTGCTTAGTTGGATGACGCGTTACTGAATACTTGGGCTCAGTTAAAATTTGGTGCTGGCTGCGATTAATTTACCGTTTCCTTTAAGAAAAATGTTCACGCTCTATCCGCTTCTTTAATTCATTTTGACGTTGTAATAGTTATCTTTAGGTTCTTGAGTAAAACTCGGCAAAATTTTATCTGATCATCATATCCTTGCCTATTGGAAATCAATAAACCATCCCATTATTGAAACTTTAAAAAATAATCTAAATATGTTTAATGAATATATTGTTAAGAATTTTCACAGTCTTTTACGAAGACACACCACAGCAAAAATTTCTTCAAATAAATCTCTTAGGCGTGATGCCCTTTTTATTGATAACTTTTGAAATGAAAATTTGTTTGCTATATCATTTGTACCAAAAAGGGATTATCCATATAAAAAAAAAGATTTGGATGAAATGATTAAGAGAGCTGCTCTTTTTTATTGAATTTCTTTGAAGAGATTTGGAAAAATAATGGTAAAGTAGAGAAAAAAATGGAAGGAAAAAGGACCAAAAAACCTTATTATTATTTTACACCTATTCCTACAAGTTTTCCTCTTGGTGCTTTACCTCTTGGATACCATTCACCTGTACTTCCAAATACGAAAAAGTTTTGTGACAAAAAATTTTGTAAAAAAATTTCAACAAATGAGGAAGGCGAAGTTTTGATATGTGGTCATGCATATCATGAAGAATGTTTTCGAGTATTGGGTTTAAAATGTGAACATTGTTATAAATACTTGGATAAATCCATTAATGAATTAACAAAATCGTATAATGAAAGATTACACTTGGAAGAAACTCAACTAGAATTAAACAATGAAGAAGAAATGAATGAAGATAATTGTGAACTTGAGGAAATTGATAGTTATAAACCGAAGATTTAAACTGATTCTGAATTACAAAGAAGAATTTTAGGTACATTAAAATATTATACCAAAGAAATTTTAAACTCTAACGGTTTATATTTTTAGAGTTTTCAAATCAAACTCGTACCTTAAATTCACACCAAGTGTTACAAGATATTAATATTTTGCCAAATACATTCTAATGTGTTTGTTAAAACCAAATATTTCGTAAAAATAAGGTTTTCGAACAATTTTTTTTTTTGTTCTTTTTTTTTTTGTTAAAATTTAATTGGCTAATAAATGTTGATCATCACGTGAAATTAAACCAATAAATGGATTTTTAACCATGCTGTACAATATTTACGAGATGAACCAAAATCATTATATTCATGCGCACTAATTAATCGACATTTATGTCGGAATTACAATCCCAATGATTTGGGAAGATCCTTTTTCCGTCAGGTTCAAATCGTGGGGAGAACCTTATGGTTTTATGGATCTTTTTTCATATTTTCTTGGTGATGACGATAAAGGAAAATTTAGAGATTTTGGAATTATTACCAAGTCAAATGAACTGACACCTTTATTTAAGTATCCCACTTTCATCAAAATATTGGTATTATCTCATTTAGAATTGCACCTGAATAATTGGATTCGTCACCGTACACAACCTCGTGATTCCTACAACTCATGCACCGAATATAGTAACAGGATTTATTTGCCTGACGTATATTAAATTATTTGTAGAAAGTGATGCTACCTTAAGTAGAGTAAGTATGAAAAGAAGCGTTTCTTATGACAAATTTTTACCCGAATTGTTTGAAATCATTTTTCATAGTACAAAATTCATATCAAATATTAAGAGGCTTAACATTACCTTAAGTTCGAACATTCAAGAATTCGTGCTTACTTTATCAACATTAGCACCTTGCATTAAACAGGCTGAATTTTCTGATTTTAACTGGAATCTACCGGCTGTTATCACATCACAAAACCAACTTTCATCTTTAACCCTTAAAGAAATACAGATGAACGATCAAATATTGGATGCCATTAAGCAATGTTTTAGAACTTCAATCAAGTTTATGAACTGTGAATTTAAACAGGTGACATCATTTGATGCGCTAAACTCTTTCACCACCTCTTATTCCAACATAGTGATGGATTAAGTTTCAACCGTTAATTGATAACCCCACTTCATTAAAAGTTAGATCCTTGAGATTAGTTGGCAAACTCACGGAATATTCCTCTTTATTACAAAAGATTGGTCATGTGGAGAATTTGTCATCAAATTATCAATTTCCCACGATGAAAGAAATGCTTTTGATAGTGTTATCAAGTACTGTACAAAGGTCAAATTCCTTCAAATATCTAGTATTGATACTTTTGATATCCCTCAAATATGTGAGTTGATCACTAGCATCGGCGCTCATCTCGAATACTTTTCCCAATTTTATTTGCATTAAATATACCTTGTATATTGATCAGTTCAAAACTTCTGGATGGTTGGGTCCCGTGTTATCAAAACGCTCGAGTTCATTAAAATATTTGAACTTGTTCCTTTCAATCGATCCGATCTTCATGAGAAAATTTCTTGATCACGTGCAAAATATCGATTTGAAAAAGTTATTAATTAGGAATTGTCATTACGAAGATATCGATGTCGCTTTTGACGTCTTGAAAGAGTTTGCAGAGGTGCAAGTTATAGACGATTTTGTATATGAGATTGTTGATTATTTTTGCATTCACACCAAAGTGAGGAACTACATCGACGAAGTTCAAAAGAACAAATATCCAGATTTGGTCTTACGTATTCCGGATTTTGAATGATTAATTCATTTTTGTTGACATTGGTTTAAAGGATTATAAAAGATGAAAATTTAAGGTTGAAATTATAATATAAATGGGATGAAGAAATTGATTCCTTATCTCTATGTACATAATATAAAATATTTTTGATAAACGTATTATTAATTCAAAAGTTCACGAAAATATCTATTTATTCTTGTTGAATTTAATTCGGCTTTGATTATTATATACCGAATCCGTAGGAAACTTTAAAATTTTTAACATTAATAACCTCGCAGCCGCAGCGAATCCGATATTTTTATTTTATCTTTTTTTGTTTATTGTTTTTTATTTAAAATTTCTTATTAGGTTTTCCTTTTTTTTTTCGGCTTTGGGTTACGTTAGTTAAGTAATATGTAATTGTTACCTTATTTTTTATAATAACAATTAAAAAAAAATCAAAAAATAAACTTTTTTTCAGATTCAATCGCTTTTGATCTATTAATAACGGCGTATTAACTTATATATATGAAAAGTTAGCGTTTATTATGTAGAAATTGCTTATATAAAAAGGAAAGGGTAGAAAAAAAAGAATAAATATTTGCTTTTTGATATATGAGGATAATAAATTTGTAATATAGTCTGCATCTACATATTTATTTTTGTTTTATGATACGAATTAGCCAAATTAATGATTTTTTTTTCGACATTTGTCTAGTTAAACTTTTTTTTTTAAAAAAAACTTTTTGCATTATCGTTATGACTTTCAAAAAAAAATAAAATTTCTCAACTAATGCATAATTATTAAGCATTGGTTCGTCATTTGATGTTATGCTCATTCTTCTGTACTTGTTGGAGACATACTTTATTTTTTCTTGGAGAGGTGAACGATGATTCTAATATCTAAATTAAGTATTCTATCTTGATGTATCTCGTCCATTCAATTCAGCGGACCCACCATGGGTTGACATTACACAAATTGACGGACTACCATTCAAATGCGGAAATTGTTTCATTAAATTATAAAGATCAAATTATTATTTATTTGAAGGATTATGCGTAATGATATAAATCGAGATGTTTTTGAATCGAGTATTCATTCATTTTATTTATATACTGTGAGGTGGAATATACCTAATATCAAAGGAATTTTGTTTAGTAGACGCAGAAAGATAAAGAGTATTATTGATCATGATACTGAAAAAAATATTTTTTTCGGTGAACAAGTTCTTTATACAACATGGTTATTTTGAATACTGTTGAATCATCATGGTTAAATAATCCTCCGGTAAACTCGCCTAGTATACGATCCGGTTATACTGCAACATTATTAACAAATGGTGTTATTGCATATATTGGTGGTATAGTAATGATTGAAGTTAATACAACGCGATTAATTGATATTAATCAAATTTATCTTTTAAGCTCAACTGATGGGTTCCTTAGTTGTTGGTTTCTAGTACAACATAATAATAAAATTAAGGAATCATTTTTGATTAGCTAATAATATAACATAAAATTTCATAAATTCAGTCGACTTTTGTTCTTTTTTTTTATAATCAATTTTTTCACTAGAATAAAAAAAGAAATTCAAAAAAAAAAGAAATTTTCAACTCTCTCAATTTTGTAAAATATTACTACCATTGCATTAATCAATTAATGATATGGCTTCATCTGTTAACGCTTCTCTTGAAATTGTTGATAATTTTATTAATAATGTAAACCTAAATCGATTTCTAATAATAATAATATTTATTATTATTTTAATTAGTAATTTCTTGTTTAAAATCATCAAAAATTAGTAGCTAGAGCCAGTAAAGATCATGGACATATTCACTGTCGTAAACGTTGTATTTATGAACTAATTTTTAGAATTTCATTTCAATATACTTTAGATTACGTTGATTATATAATTTTTTTTTTTTTTGTTTTTTTTAAAAAAAAATAAATTATTTTTTTAAATATTAATATTTATCGAGCTTTGTTACTATGCACTAGCATGACCTTATGTCATAACTGCGACAATTTTATGGCTTTCAGCGAAGTTCAGCAAATTTACTAAAAACGAAATAAATAAATATAATTAATTTTAAAAAAATTTAAACGTATTCAAAAAAATTGAATATTTTTTTTATACAATTAGGATAAAAATGTTTTCAGCTTACGTTTAGAATTGGGTAAGTATTTGATTTTTTTTCCTATACATATATTAAACCACTGTCCATTAAGCATAAAGCTTTAAAGCAATAAAGATAACAGATCTATATTTGAAAATAAATCTAACAATTCTTGTTAGTATGATTGGAAAATCAAACCGACCGTTTCCAAATAAAGTTATGCTAACAACTTTTTTTCGGATTCGATCGTCTTAGATTTATTGACTGCGGCGAATTAAGTTATATGAATAGTTAGCGCCTAATCATTCGAGTGAGTTTGTAATACGTAAATTAAATTACATGCAACAATTGGCTTCTATATATGTGTACGAATTAACCAAATAAAAGATGATTTTTTAAAATGTCATGTTAATTATTGAAACTTTTTTTTTTTTTCTAAAAAAAATTATTTGCTTTAATTACATTATGACTTTCAAAGGATATAAATTGCTCAACTTATGCTTAATTTTCATATTAAGCCATTGTTTCGTTATAATTGAGTCGTTTATTCCTGTAGGACGTTATGCTCATTCTTCTGTCCTTGTTGGAGAAAAACTTTATTTTTTTGGAGGGATGAACGACAATTTTAAATGTCTAAATGAAGTATTCTACCTTGATGTATCTCGTCCATTTAATTCAGCGGTCCCACCATGGGTTGACCTTACACAAAATGCCGGATTACCATTCAAAAGCTGTTGGGCAACTGTTTCATTAAATTATAAAGAACAAATTATTTATTTATTTGGAGGATTCATGCTTAATGATACAAATCAGGATGCTTTTGAATCGAGTGTTTATTCATTTGATTTAAATACTGTAAGATGGAATATACCTAATATCAGAGGAATTTTGCCTAGAAGACGCAGAAAGATAAAGAGTATCATTGATGATAATACTGGAAAAATATATATATTCGGTGGACAAGCTCTTATTGCAACAACATTAACGCTTCTTAATGACATGGTCATTTTGAATACTGTTGAATCATCATGGTTAAATAATCCTCCGGTAAACTCGCCTAGTATACGAACTGGTTATACTGCAACATTATTAAAAAATGGGATTATTGCATATATTGGTGGTATAGAAATGATTGAAGTTTATACAACGCGACTAGTTGATATTAATCAAATATATCTTTATGATACAAAATCTTTAACTTGGTCAGTGAAAGTATGTATTAGAATTATTTTATTTATTATTAATAATTAGTCGCGGCCTAATTTTACTGATAAAAAAGAACGTCAGAATGCGAATAGGTATACATTGAAAACGTTCGTGAAAAGTTCGGGTATTTTCAAAACGACTTAACCTACATTGTCTAGAATTTTTAAACATGAGTTGCTTGCAGTTTATGGATTATTTGATGAACAAACGTTTAGTTTTAAATACAGCAATCACAATGATTATATTTCAATAAGTAATATTTTGAATGATACTAATTTACTGTATTTATTTACGTATAGATAGCGAGATCTTCAAATATTATTGAAAATCGTAATGGACATGCGGCTGTATTGGGTATATATGAGATAATATTTATCGTTTATGAGAATTTTAAATTATTTATCTAATTAAATTTTTTTTTTTATTAAAATAGCTCCAAACGACGAAATCATAATTTATGGTGGATCTAGGGGTGTTGGTATAAATGAGCGAGTTGTTCCAGATTTATTCGTTTTAAATACAAATACCGAACAATTTGAATTCACCATACCACCAGTTACATCTAAAATTGGTCAAGTTCCATCAATTACGATACATACAGCTGATTTGGTTGTAAATTATATGATTGTAGCATTTGGTAAGCAAAAATTATTTGCAATCGTCTTATTGAAATAATTTAACCTTTTAATTTATTATATTCCAAATTAATATGATAGGAAATATTACACAACCAAATTCTAGTCCATTATCATTAAGGAATCCTAATATTTACATAATGGATATTAGAAATTATACATGGGTTGATTCATTCGATCCTACAAACATGGGAACAAAAACTAATCCTTCAGCAATACAACCATCTTCTTTTACTAACGATCTTAATAAGGATTTGGTTACACTGAAGATCGTAATCGGTTCGATTGGAGCAATTTTATGCGTCGTTATAATCATTGTTTGTGGATTTTTAATTTATAGATGGAATGCAAAAAAGAAAGGACAATCACCTACTACTATTTCTACTGCTCCTGTCACAAGCATTGGACACAATGATCAAAATGATAAAGAACATAATTTATCCGAAGTAATAATATGATTATTCGTCGTTTTAACTGCTTCATATTTGAAATGTGCCGTCAATATTCATCTTATATAATAACTTTATGATTTCTTTTTAATAATAAGTTTTTTTAAAAAGTATTTATATAATGATAATGAACATTCCCTAAATTAGATCACATGTGCGGGTTATTGGCGTTATTATCTACTTTGAAAAGATTTATAGATCTAAAGATTTTATTATACATTAAAAGAAAACGTGTCTATAGTTATACGAAAGTTAAGGACACATGGATTTGATAAAACCTTATTGTATAAATCAGTAAATAATAATCTAGTTTAATTTGAAAATGTGCAGTGCATTAATATCGGCATTATGAAATAAAATATGAAGTTTCCTAATTAAAACAATTACAAGAGTTACTCAAATTTCGTCACATATATTTTATTTATAAAATTTAACGTCTAAGATGTGTATTATAATCTTAAATCAAATTCTTTAGTCTACATTTTTGATAACTATTCTTAATAATTAGAATACGAAACAGAAATTAATACTTTGAGCAGAATGACATGGTCAAATTCTTCTAAAGATTAATTATAATTTATTTGACTATTAAAATATCAGATTCAGCAGCTTAAATTTCAATTTGCTGAAAATAAAAATAAAAATAAAACAATGAAGAATTCCTTATTTGTTTACCTCAATTAAATATTTAATATTTTAAATACAGAAATCCGCTTTTTTTTTTTTTAAAAAAAAAAAGAAATACTTTTATTGTTGGTTATTTAATTATCGCTAATAAAATTATGTATATTAAATGTGTTGTGAATTTTGAACAGCTTCTATACAGACATTATGAAATGTTGTAAATTTATCACAAATTTACTAACATTTATAAATTATTAATAAATCTTATTATATCCTTGCGTTGTAATTAATTTTACTTAAGAAAAAAATGGCGTATTTATCAACTTTAACCTTGGCATCTAATTTATTTATATACATAAAATTTTGTGATATGAATTTCATTTATACTGCCAATCATGTGATTTCAAAAAGATGGAGGTTATTTATACTTTATTTTGGGACGGTTATAATCTTAGCGAATTTATTTTAAGTTGATAAAGATAGACATTTCAGATGTAGGTAAGGCGAATTTTCCTTTGTTTTCTTTCGAGTTCGATCGCTTTGGACTCAGCAATAATTCATTTTTCTTCACACTATTTACACATTATTAAATTTTCTTTTAGATTCCGTTTCAGCTTGAATACTAATACTTGAAGTATTAGATATCTGGAAGGTTGCCACCCTTTACTTGTGTTAATACAACTAAATTAAGCAATATTTTTTAATTTTTTTTTTTTTTTTATTAGCATAAAACTGATTGATATAATGTTAACATTTTTGCCGATCATTTCATTCAATTTTGTCGCGTTACATTATTGGAATATTTTATTATTATATTATTTTCTTTTTTTTAAAACAGAAAGTCAAATTTAATCTAAAAAAGGGAAAATTAAATTATATTGACAAACAAGAGCAATCAAAATTAGATAGTATTTTAGATTTATGTACAATACAGTACATAGTGACACTTCAAAAAAATTTTTTTAGTTTTATTTGCAATGAAAATTTGTAAAATAAATATATATTTACTATTTTGATATTTGTAATATAAAATATATTTCGCATCTACAAATAGCATAAATTTAGTTATACTGGAGTTGTCATATACGGGCTTCAACTGCAAAATATTAGCACATATTATTATGGAGAATTTTTTTAGTCGGAAATAATTCATTTAAAAAAAAAATTGATAACGATACTTTTTATATCGTATAGCAAAACATTACTTCTGATAAAAGTCACTCAATAATGATTCAAAATTGATATTTCGATGTTTAAAAAATAATATAAATCTATTTATAAAATATTAGTATGTACGATATTCTGATCGAAGTTCAAAAATAAGCATTTTTAACGTTAATGTTAATAACTGATCTAATACATTAACATTAAAATATATGAATTTATGAAACTAGAGAAATTTTCAACTTTGATCGTGATGAGTCCTATTTTATGATTTTATAAAGCTAATCTTGTAAAATTTTAAAGTTTATAAATTTCATCTAGGCAAATAAATTAATTAACAACGCATATGCTTTTATAATGTTTAAAAGTTGAACTTCACCTTTATAGTTTTTTTAATATTGTCCAAATGTATTGTGTAACATTTGATCTTTTTTTTTCTGTCACATTTGATGATATTATAATATTTTTTTTAAATAAAAATATTTCCAAATAATGCTTGATTGTCCGTGGTGGTGACCAACCATGATGAAACGTTTCAAGATTTTTTTTTTATTATTAGTAAATTACGAAAAATGGGAATGAAGAAATTTCTTGTGAAAATTAATTTTGAAAACATTTACATTATAAGATTTTATTTTATTTTTTTTTTAAAAATGTTCTAATGATCGGTCGTCCGAGTATCCCAACTAGTGGGCGCAGTATAAGATTATATTTTATTATGTATTTCAATTCAACATTTGGGAAGATCTCTAAAATTGGTTAGTATCGGATGATGACTTTTTTTTTTTAATAGAGTCCTTATTTGTCAAATTTAAGGACCGCCGAAAAAAAATAATCATTCATTAGTTATAACTTTCATTCAATTGGTGTGTTAAAAGTGGTCATGAGTTGTTTACTTTCAATTACAAAGTATCACGTGAATACCACAAAAGACATTAAGTCAGCAAGAAATGAAATTTAGCAAGACACAAATAATTGTGAAATTTACTTGATAATGTATTAATTATTACATATTTATTATCATTTAAAAAAATAGATCAGGTAGAACAATCAAAAAAGAAATGAATAAAAAAATTTTTCACGCTTACGATGAATAGAATTTGAAAAAAATGAATGATAAAAATTACGACAACTAATTATTATGGGCAGCTTAGTTGGACCGATTGCCTTGTTTCGCGTAGCTTTCAGAAGCTAAACAAGCAATAAAGAATAACAAATTATTTGGACTTTCATTTTGCTTTGTTTTATCTTACAAATGATTTGATTTGTAGTTATTATTTTTATTATTTTATTGAGAATGATTTTCTTGAAGGATTTAATTACGGGAGGGAGGCAAGCTTTATATTTAAACTGAGCTATTTACAGCTTCTTATTGAGCATCGTAATAATTTAAATTTTGGCTTCAAGGGAATAATTTATAAAGTGCGGATCAAAGAAAATAATTGATAATAACGGGCTGTAAATGGCTGAATTAGAATGGATCTCCTACAAAAATTTTCTATCAAAATAATATTTTCAATGTTTTCGTTGTTTCAACAATACCTGTGGCTTCGAAAAGATATTTTTAATCGATCAATTCAAGCAACTGACCTACGCAAATAATATTATCCAACGTGTACTTTTATTTGAGTTGCACGTAAAATTACCATAAAATTACAGCTGTAAAAAAAGATATTCATATCAATAATTAATGCGTTCTACACATTCTTGTATTTTTAAATCATTATTGTCACTATTAATGGCTTCGCTTTTTGGAAAAAGTAAGTATAAAAAGCGGTCATAATGTTTGACTTCAAACTTCTTCACGTTCCACCTCTCTCTTGAAAAAGTTTATTGGAGTTTGAGTCGACCCCATAAAGTCGCCTGCTAATTGCGCCTTGAAATGCGTAAGTAATTTTGAAAGATTAGGAATCTTGCATTCTTACAACTTGTCAGCCGCAGATTTTATCATACCAAAGCCATTCTGTGGCTGATTCCGAAAGAAACAAGTAACTTGATTACAAACATCGGTTTAAATTGTCGTCTAGATATCAGAAACTTGTATTATGATATTTCATGGCGTTGTTGGCGTTTTTTGTTGTTTAATTAAACGCAGATTATATATACTGTATATAAGCCATTGGTAAAAACGATCGAAAAGCCATTCGGTGGCTGATCCCGAAAAATTTGTGTAACGATTGGTTGCTTTGCCCAATAATGAACTGGTTTTATTGATTTCTTCAGCTCGTAACATTGAAAAGCCATGAGAGACTTGATTTTAGATAATTTTTTTTTGTTTGGTTCTAAACTACGTATAATAAAAGTAACAGCCATTAGCAAAAATTATTACGATATTGGAGGCTAAGATTACTTATTGATATTGTTTCGTAAAAGCTACCGCCTCTAAATACTTGATTGCTTTCTAATTAAAATGTTTTGACGTAATGCCGAATATAAGCTCTTTTCATTATTTTTTCATAATTCGGAACCGTTTCAATAGCTTTATGTTTAATATTTGTAAAAAATATTTCCACCCTAAACATAAGTAAATGGATCACATGGAATAGATTTTATCTACACGATATTACATTTTTATCATGAATGGAAATTTGGCGTTTATTGTATTGCTCTATCGTTAGTTGAAACGTCAGAAATTAATTGGTAAAAAGTATTAACACGGCTTTCAACAAACACCTCGACAACTAATATGAGAACAAGTTTTACATTTTGTCAAAACAGAAGGTAGGCTGGAGAAGCGTGCTTAATCACCTGTTGAGATTAATTTGTAAATAGAAAAAGTCACAATTATGTTTGATGCATTTGTTCAAAATAACATCATATATAGATTAATTTCCAACTTTTATAATGGAAAAGGCACGGTCAAAATTATTTAAAATTTGTATTTTTAACTGTTTAATAATAAAATTTTAATTTTTTTTTTCAAAGCAACTTAATGGATATTGCCATTCACAATGTTTCTACAACTTTCAAACAAATAAACATTCTAAACTTATCATAACCTTAAAAAAAAAAGCTTTAAGTAAATAAGAAATGAAAAGAAGCTGTACAGAAAGTTGTTACTTGTTTAAATGATGTCAATAAATATTGAAGTGTTATACTTCTTTCTGAAATTTTCAAACGGCTCAATTAACTTACAAATTTTCCAAATTAAGTTTGTTTTAAAGCCTATTAATGTACGAAAAGCAATATACTGTAAATTTTCGTGTTTGATGATCAAGTAAAAAATGCATAACGTGACAATATCAGATAAAGTTTCAATAAATGTTTTTAACTATTATTGCTACCATAATAATGAAATTAACATTACGGTTAACGGTCATAATTTGTGAATCGTAGAATCATTCTTGACCCTGGCTTGGATTACTTGTGATAATTCGTTTTCCCTTTTATCAGACCTAGGAATTGGCAATATATTTTCATCTGGTGACATATCATTATTTTCGGACTTTCGATATTTTGTACATACAAATATAGAGAACCATATATTAACATTGTTTGCCGGTGGTTTACTGAAAGATGGGAATGGTACACTTGACGCACTTGACCCACTTGGTAGGGCTCTTGTTGGAATTCCCGAAAATGATGCTGAAGGGAAGGAATAGCTGATTGAGCATATAATACTTCGAATAGTATAAAATTGAATAAGAATAAATAAGGATTTCATGATAAAAAATTTAAAAGAACGAAAATTTGTTTTAAAAATTTGAAACGTGAGACAAACTCGCAAAGCGACGATCGATTTCATCTTTCTGTACTTATACATGTGAATGAAATAATTTAAAAAAAATAAACCTGAAATTAAGGAATTCTGAAACAATTTTTTACGCGAAAGTCAAATGAATTCTATTGTTATCCAACAAGGATTTCACTAACACTTATGACAAGCAAATTTATATCGGTCGATTAACCTGACTTCCAAAAATTTTCTCGTTAGAGTAAATTGTTTGTTGATTATAAAATGTTTCTATGATTACCTTATATTAATTAATTAATTAATTAATTATCTTATATTCTATATTCATGGCCATGCGAATATTAATTGATTTTTCTGCGCCTTCAAAATATTAAACCTGTGTAACATTAAATAAAACTAGGAAACGTTTTCGGAAACCATCGTTAAGTCCGGAGCACAAGTATAACGAAAGGGACCAGCCATGTATCGACTAAATTTTGAGCGGGCGGACAGAAGGAAATATGTGTAACCACAACACTAAAACATATGTAGTCCTTCGCTTCGCTCCGGACTAATAAAATGTGCAGTCATAAATATGGAACTTAATTACTGTAGATCAAAATTTAAATTGAACATGGCAAACCTGATCTTTTTATTACTTTTATATATAATCCAAAATGACCAGAAATTACAAGAGAACTATCATCATATCATAATACTGCTGATAGACCTGACTTAACAGCTTGAGTTTTTCATATGAAATTATAGGAATTGATGAAAGATCTTTGTGAAAAATATTGGCTTGGATAAGTTATAGCATATATTTATGTAATAGAGTTTCAAAAAAGAGGATTACTACTTAATCATAAAACAACTTTAACAGCTTAGTTTCAAGAAAATGCAAATAATATTGATGCATGAAATTATAAATATACTGATTTTTCAATTTATTATACTTAGCATACATCTCAACACAAATAAAATCACAGATTAAATAATACAGGAGTAATAGGATGATTGTATATAGTTCAACCTATTGAAGTGATTGATATTATTTAAAAATATTACTTACACATATTACTGGAGCTATCTCATTTGATAATATAAAAACATAAATAGTTATCTATGCAAAACTTTTCAAATAGCATGTATTTACCTCAATTTTCTTCAAGATGATAGTGAATGGAATATATATTTATATGAAGCAAGTAGCATTCAGACAGAAAAAAATTACATCATCTTTTTGCTATGATACTACTTATGTGCTAACTTTTAGTACTAGAATTATTATGGAAAACTCACAAATTAGCATTATGTGAAGATATTTTATATAATATATAACAATTATCTTCCTTACAAACAATTATTATTAATAATATAATAGAAAATAAAGCACTTAGTGAAATAGAATATTATCTTTAATCAAAACTAAAAAAAGCTTTCCTCACATGCCAATTTCTTCAATACAGAATACATATTCTAATTTTTCTAATAATGATTTTGATCAATTAATTAATGAAAAAAGATCAGATGATCCTTATTATTTAGCAGAACAATTATTACAAAATTTTTCCTTATTAAATAAAAAAACAGCATTTAATATATGATAAAATCATTCAGGTCATTAATAATAATAAATGTAATTGTTTCTTAATAGATAGTCTAGCTAAAACTGGAAAAATATTTCTTTATAATACTTTATTAGCTAAAATTAGATCATATAGTGATATTGCAATAGCAGTAGTATCTTCTAAGATTGCAGCATTATTAATGAATGGTGATAAAACAGCACGTTTTTGATTTTTGATTCCTTTTAAAATAGATGAATTTTCAACATATGTAATCTTTTACAATACTAAATTAGTACATTTAATTAATATAGCAAATTTTATATTTGGGATGAGTCTTCTATGATGCATAAATTTGTATTTAAAGCAGTTGATCAAACATTTTAGGACATTACACAAGTAAACTAACATTTGGAGGAAAAATATTTGTTTTTGAAGAAGATAATTTGATAAATTTTACCTGTTATATCTCATTTACTTCGTCAAGCTTAATCTGAACATCTTTATAGTCTTATATTAAAATGATGAAATTATCAACAAATATGAGACTTCAGCAGACTTCTGATCCACAAGAAAATCTAAAATAAAAGCAATTTGCAGAATTTCTTTTAAAGGTCGGTGTTAGCATATATCCAGTTATAGAAGATATAATAAGAATTCCTTTAAATATAGTATTATTTAAAGGAACTTTAACAAGCTTAATTGATTTCGTTTATCCAAACTTGGTTGAAAATATAGGCAATGCTAATTATATGGTTAGTAAAGCAATTTTAACTCCAAAAAATATAAATGTTGAGGCTACTTCAGATATAATAATGGAAAAAATTCCTGATGAAATAATTTCATATCCCAGTGCTGATTCAATAGTATAGTAGAACAACCCCAAATTTATTCACCCGAATTTTTAAGATCATTAAAAATTCCTGAACTTCCTCCTGGAGAATTAAAATTGAAGTTAGGCATACCAATCATACTTATACGAAACATAAATCCGTCAGAAGGTTTATGTATTGGAACTAGACTAATTTGCCGTGCATTTCAAAGTAGATGCTAAATTATAACAGGATCACATGTTGGTAAACGTGTGTTCATTCCGCGTATAACATAACTTCATCAGAAACTAAATTACCCTTTATCTTAAATTGACGTCAATTTTCTATACGTATTATCTTTACAATGACAATTAATAAATCGCAAGGACAAACATTAAATAGGGTTGGTATTTATTTACCACAATCCGTTTTTGCACATGGTCAACTATATGTTGCTTTATCAAGAGCAACTTCATATCAAAATATTAAAATTTTTATAGATGATGGTAATAGTTGTCAAACTAAAAATATTGTATATCATGAAATATTTAATTCCGTATAAAACAATATTTATATATAATTAATAATATATTATCTATTATAATAAACTCACTGATCTATACTATATTATAAAAAATAAAGCTCCAATATCATATGACCGAAATTAAGTAAATTACAAAGTTCATTCTTCTATTCATCGAGATTAGATTTGATTTTGTTTGTTGTTTTAACTAGGAAAAGTACTTTTTTGCAGGAAATGAAAAGATAAGTATTTTTTTGATTAATAATAAAAAGTAATGCTAACTTTTTTATACTAACCTTTTTTCTACTTTGCCAATAGAGTTTGGGTTACTTATCTAAGTCATCTCTATGCTTGATAGCATATCGCAAAAATTATTATTAAAATTATCTTTTAGAAGCAAAAAAAAAACTATAAAGAATTTTATTAGATCAAATTTAAGATGTTTAATCAAACACATGATCAACAAATTAATATTGATTAATAATATGAGAAAAAAAAACCCATTCTTTAACGAATGATAATAAATTTCCGGTGTACTAATCCTAATAAATAATAGTATTATTTTAGTGATAGTATTTTTTTTTAATAATTACTTATTTTATTAATATGCAAAAAAAAAATTTTTTTCTGGGGGATACCGAGTACCCCCCCCCCGACCCCCCCCCCGTCTTAGGCTTTTTTTTTTTTTATCATTTTTAAATATTTACTTTATTTATATACTTTATTTATTTTATTTTATTATTATATATTTATTTTCACCCTAATTAAAACAAAAGTTAGATTATATAATCATCACTTAAAAAAAAGTGCATCGGAATTTTATTTCAAGATGAATTAATATATATAATTAACCCAACTCATTGACCCCGGTTCGAAGCAACGGGTTACAGATAGTCATTGAATAAAAATTTTTGGCCTGCATTGTATTTTTCCAGCCCGCATTATGAGTTTGACTTGAGTTTCTGACTCAAATTTCCAACTCGAATACTCTTCGAGTCAAAAATTTCTTGACTCGACTTTGACTCGAGTTATCTTTTCTGACTCAAGTCCAAACTCTAGCTTAGAAGCTTATTTTCTCAAAAAAAAAGCTATATTGAGCTGAACTTAAGCTGAACTGGTTTAGCAATTTAACGTCCCTAGTTTAGGTTATGAACCATTCTATAAAGGCAAATTGGTAAATGTTAGCTTTAGTATTTTAAATAAAATACAAAATAACTACCGAATTCCTCTATTAGAACTTACTTTTAATCCAAGATCCAAGGTTGTAAGGGTTTAAGTTCAGCATAAAATAATAAAGAAACATTCTGAAATGCTCCTTAAAGACAAATATCAAAAAAAAAAAAAAAAAAAAAAAAAAAAAAAATAGAGAGATTACTGGTTCATTCGTTCAAGTCCGGTGGTCCAGTATTTTAAAAATAAAAGAATGAATATTACCTTTTAAAAAATAAAAAATTTTAAATGGTCATCACATGATGTTATGTTATCCTACCAGATAATTATGAAAATCCTGTTTCTTTGTTAAATGTAATAACCATTATGTAAATTTTTGCTATTCCATTTTTGTATTTTTTAAATGTAAAAATTATCTTGCTATATTACAATATGAAGTAGTTTCCTAAAACAACTACTCTGGCGAGAAGAATAGCATGATTAACTTTTACCAAGTATTATTTGTATTAATAAACTTGCATTAAAAACTTATATATAGAAAAATTTGTATAATTAAGTTTTATCCGGTAACCCGTGATTTTTTATAATTAACAATGACTATAATAAATCGTTTATCAGGCAAAATATCATTTATCAGGCAAAAAATCGTTTATCAGGCAAAAAAATCATTATCAGGCATTAATAACTTTTATTAAGGCATTATTTGTATTAATAAAATTACATTTACAATTTGTATAATAAGTTTTATTTATAATTATTTTTTTTCCCTTTCTTTTTCTTTTGATTTGTATTTAATTCGGAAGATGAAATTTCTTGCAGTGGCCTTTATTTAAAAGTTGCGAAACCTTACTAAAAC